GGCTGCCTCTTTTCCATCACCCTAATCTGCAGAGCAGGATGAGGAAACCAGCCCGTTTTATCTGCAGGTGAGTTTAGTTTGGCGTTGCCATGGCGATACCTGAAGCTGAAGTCAGAGAGCCTCCTCAGGTTTACGGTTTTCAGCAGCAAAACGCAGGAAGAGGAGGCAGAACATCTGGACCAGAACCGGACCAGAACACCAGCTTCTGTTTGCTCCGTTACGTTCAGGGAGGAGAAATTAGATTATTATACATACATGAATGCAAATCAAGATATACGTGTGTTTGCATCAAAAACACGTGTGAATCTGGTTCTGTTTTTTTGTGAATTATGTTTTAGCTTCGTAGGTTCTGCTCCGACATCGATCAGGGGAAACGGACCGGCCCGGTTCTGCTATAAATACTCCCAGACCGTCCTTCAGCAGTCCTCCTCCGCCTCTTCATCGTTGAGCAGCTATTTCTGTCCAGCGGTGTCGGGTTTGTCTGGTACCACAGAACCTGGCACCTTCTGGACCGGAGCCGCAAACTGAAGACCCTGGAGGAGGAGCGGTGAGGACGGGATGTGGTTCCTGCAGGTTCTGTTTGGTCAAATTCCTCAGATTTTAATTCATTTTTCTGCCATTTCTTTTCTAAAAAAATGGCAGAAAGTATTTTTCAGTTTTTTCTTTCAACCGTCCGGTCTGTGGATGACGAGGGCCAGGAGAATAAAACACGAATCCAGTATGAACAGAAGAAAGACGAATCTAACTCCAAACAGCTCCGATGAGACGAAGCTCCGACCGTCGGCTCGGTTAGTTTCATCAGCCGAGAAGCTAAAGCTCAACGTTCACCACGTTTTTATTCTGGAGCCCGACCCGGAGACCGTACTGAACTCAAAGTCCGAATAAAGAGAAGCTGTAAAGTACGCGAGTAGAACAAGATGGCTGCCCTGGTGATGACGTCACTATGGAAACCGAGTCTGGTACCGGAGGGTCCAAAAGGAGCAGACAGGGCCCGGATGTTTGGTTCAGGATTAATAATTTAATGAGGTTACAGATATGCTGCAGTTTCGCACCAACAGAACCAACATCCGGATCAGAACCAACCGATCAGTTGCTGCATTTTTGCTCTGAAACACTGAAAGATGTTCAACCAGTTACAGAACCAGAACCTGAAACTAGACTGGACCTGAACCAAGCTGCTTCTGATGCTGCAGCTCATCCATGAGTCGGCTCGGTTCTGGTTCTGAAGGGGAGAACGGTCCAGAGTCAGAGCTGCTACCACACACACAAACAAACTCCAGGACTCTTTCAAAATAAAAGCTCAACCTGCTAGTCTCCATTGAGCTGCCAGCTGATTGGCTGCAGACGCCTCCATGTTCGGCAGTAGGCGGAGCTCCGGTGGAGGGCTGTGTGTGTGTGTGTGTGTGTGAGAGTGTGTGTTAGGACGGCTTGCTGTAGTCCTCCACCCCGGTGATGGTGGCCTTGCAGAAGAAGCAATCCTTGTTGTTCATCAGATGCTGATTGATGCAGGCTCTGCACACAGAACACAGCAGAATTAGAACCAGAACCAGAGGAACCAGAACCAGAACCAGAGGAACCCAAAAAGGTTGAAAGTGAGGATATAATTAATGGTTATTGGCAGATTTAGTTCACACGACTATCGAGTCTAAAAAAGATCAAATCTAATTTTGACCTTTAGTTAAATCTACTAAATAATAATTCTGAATGGTTCTGAGTGGTTCTGGATGGTTCTGAGTGGTTCTGGGTGGTTCTGTGGACTCACTTGCAGGACTTGTGTGAGCAGGGCCTGAAGACGGCGGAGATGGAGTGGGCGTAGCAGATGGGGCAGAGATCTTCCTCGCTGGTCGGCTGAAACAGACAGAGGCAGAACTTTGAGTGACTCCAGAACCAGAACCGGACCGGATCCTGCTGCAGTCACATGACACCAGTAGGGTCCCTTTCTGTTAAAGGCGTTTTCCTCTCCTGTCGCCCCCTGCTGGTCCAGGGCTGAATGACTGACAGCTGGGATCAATAGGATTGATTGGTTGATCGATTGAAATGATCTCGAGGCGTTTTGAAACAGATCTATAGAAATAAACAGAAAAACAGAACAGTTCTGATTGATCCTGGTCCGGTTCAGTCCGGTTCTTCTGCTGGTGAAGTCTTCGCTCCTCAGGGCGGTTCTGATCCGTTATAAACTGGAGATCTGCTTCTTCCTGCCAGGACGACCAGAACCTCCTGGCTCGGTTCTGTGTGGAACAGAACCCTGAACCGGTTTCTGCTGGAGTCTCAGCGTGGTGCTGGTTCTGCTTGGTCCGGTTCTGCAGGAAGCTGCTTACAGCCTAAAGGTCATGGTAAGGTCACGGAGTGCTGCAGGAAGCGCAGCGTGGCGGAGCGGTGACCTTTACGTCAGACCCGGCGGGTTCCAGAGTCTGGTGTTGTTCGACCCGAAATGAGCAGAACTCCTGCTGGGAGACGGATCCGGTTATGGAAGTCATCCAGTTCGCATGAAGAGGAGCGGCGTGGGACGGGTCCAGGTCGGGTCCAGGTCGGGCTGGGTCCGGGTCGGGTCCAGGTTGGGTCCAGGTCAGGTCCAGGTCGGGCCAGGTCGGAAATCAAACTTTATCAGGACACGTCAAAACGTCCTGAAACCTCAGGGGAAACGTCTGGTTCTGCTGCTGACCAGAACCGGTCCGTCTGATCAGAACCTGCCGGACCGAAACCAAGCGGATCCCTTCCTGGTCATCGAACGCAGCTTGTATCGGCCATCTGCAGGGGGCGCTGTTCCTTCAGAGAGAGAGTCTTTGAGCAGAAAACAGGAAGGCTGAGCAGTTTAACCTCTGACCTCCCAGATCCCAGGCCTTCAAAATAAAACCTGCAAACTTTTCATATTCAAACTGATTAGATTTTATTTTCCAAATATTTACAAATAAGAACTATTTTCAAAATGATTTCAATCATCCTTTCTGGGTTTCGAAAATGTTTCCTTAATGAGAATACAGTTAAAATGTTAGTGGAATAAAGATTTCACCAGAAATTAAGAGAAAAAGTCGTTAATGGGAGAAAACCTTCAGAGTTTGGAGGATCCGTTGTTTTAAAATCCAGCTCCCGATAAAACTTTGATGTCTTAAAAGATGAAGTATTTCACAAGATTTAATGTTGTTGTTATTTTTCATGTTGAGTTCTCATAAAATTATTACTTCATCCTCCTAATATTACCACTTTATTCTGGGAATATTAAAATAATCTCGTAATTAAAATAAAAATCATAGCCATAGCCTTCGTTGTAGAGTTGACCTGAAGTCAGAGTCCGAATGAATAGAAGCTGTAAAAAATGATTGTCAAACAAGATGGCCGCCCTAACCCTGGTGAAAAAATCCCAGATTTTCAAAAATAATTAAATCCTAAAAAGCAAAAAAAAAAAAAAAGTTAGTTCATCCCCCTGGACGAACAGATTCTGACCATCGTGGAAGAATCTGGGCCTGGGAAAGTCGGCAGAGTTAACGAAGGTTCTGGAATTTAAACATGGCGGCTGATGGTTCACCATGCTAACCATGCTAATTATGCTAACAGCTAACATCAGGTGCTACAGCAACGCTAAAAGCAGGAAGGCTGGATAAATATTCCTGTTGTTTCAGTTCCTGAAGCGACTTCATGAAGAACAGAGATCAGAACCAGACTGCAGGTTCTGGTTCTGATCGGTGCCTCAAAGAGCAGCCAAACCCTCCAGAACTCCATCAGAATCCAGAAAAAGCTGCTTCACCGCTGGGCCATGATGGGGCAGGAGACTGGAACCGGACCAGAACCAGTTCCAGACCCTCAGGTTCTGTTAAAGGTCAAGCAGACACTCTGCAGGGCTGTGCAGCTGCTGGTTCTGCTGTCCTGGTGACACCAAGCAAACACAGAACTCTGTGTGTGTGTGTGTGTGTGTGTGTGTGTGTGTGTGTGTGTGTGTGTGTGGAGGGGGATGTGGATATTTTCATGATCCTGTTTACCTTCATTAATTCTCTGATTCACAGAGCAACTTTGAGCAGCTGATGACATCATTAATATGCTAATTAGGAGTGATGTCACTTACAGATTAGGATAATGAGAGATGAACTATGAACATGAACTGATTCAGTTGAATTGATAAAAACTAAACTAAGACCTAGACCCAGAAGAATTAACATCCAGAACAAGAAGTGACCTCAGGACAGGAAGTGACCTCAGGACAGGAAGTGACCTCAGGACAGGAAGTGACCTCAGGACAGGAAGTGACCTCAGGACAGGAAGTGACCGTACCGCTGTGGAGGCAGCGGCCTGCTTGGACTCCTCGGTGAGGAACTCCAGCATCTCCTCCACCTTCTGCTTCTCCTCCAGGCTGATGTAGTCGGTGTCTATTGGCAGAAAACAGAGTCAGGTTGAGCAGAAACGGATCTCACCAAGCAGAACCAGAACCTTCAGAACCTCTGGTGGTTCTGATGGGTCACAGCCTCAGATACCAGCGAATTTATTGTTTCTGCTTCTGGATTAACTAAAGGTCAGAAGAAAACCTGCTGAAGCAGCAGAACCGGACCTCTGCAGGTCCGGCAGTGGTTCTGGTCGGGCCTAAGGACCCGCGGAGCTGGACGGAGGCTAATGGCCCACTTTACGGCCACAGCAGGATCACAGGAGCCGGTCCAGACAGCAAGGTCACCATGAGGTCCAGAAGTTTCATGGCTCAGTTTGGTTCTGATGGGATCCCTGCTGCCCCAGGCTGTAGAACCCAGACCAGAACTGACCCGATTCTTCTCAGATTAGACATCAGGACCGCTGGACCACAAAAGGTCTTTAAACCTTGAAAGTTCTTTCCAGTTACTCTAAGTTCAGGGCCCGGTTCTTGTTTTAGTCTCCTCTCTGTGGACCCTACAGGCAGAACCAGGTTCTCTTGGTCTACAGAACCACAGAGAACCGAGCCAGGAGATTCTGGTCGTCCCGGCATGAAGAAGCAGATCTCCGGATCAAACACTTAAAAACAACACCCAGATGTTTCTTGGTGTCTGGAAAATGAGCCATTTCAAAAACCTCTGGCATTTCGCCAATCAGCAGACGCTGCGCCGTTGCCTGGCAACCCCAGGGAAGCCCAGCTCGTTACCTGGCAACCAGAGTGAAACCCCAGTTTCTCGATGTCTCACCATCCAGAAACCACTTCCTGCATTCTTGTTGGTTCTCCAGGAGGCTCCACTAATGCTTTTCAAAGATGTATGGTTGTATAATTGCATGTGTTTACAGCCATTTTCAGGTGCGAGTGTAAACATTGAGTTGGGGGCGTGGCCAGTAGCAGCTTATTTGGATTTAAAGTGACAGAGGCCCTAAAACAGCTCAACATGAATTGAACAGAATAAAATCTGATTATCCAAGAAAAATGTAATCAACATGTTTTGTATAGACCGTAGATGGACCTAACATATTAATGGAAGAATAACAGGTCAGCTGCACCTGGAGAACCGGACCGGGTCAGAACTTTGGTTTAATCCCAGCAGAAAGGAGAGAAGTTCCCCTCTTCATGAGAGCCTTCCTCCTCCTCCTCCTCCTCCTCCACCCAGTTGATGGTGTTCGATCCGTGTCTCCATTTCCTCCATCAGAGGCTCGTGTTTCTGCGGTGAGCTGACAGCGCCTCATCTGAGCCCTGATAGTGCAGAGCTGGCCGGCTGCCAGGCTGATGTTCTGAGGGAACCGATTCCCGCTCTGTGATGGGATGCAGGCAGAACCCAGGGAGCTGGTTCTGCAGGTTCTAACGGTCCTGAACAGAACCAAGATGTTCTCCACCTGCAGGAGCATTGTTTGGTCCATGTGGCCCAGCGCCGTCTGACAGCCGGCTCGTCTGACTTCCACATGATGCTCCTGAGGGTGGTCATGGAAACTGCTGGTGTTCCCATGACAACGGAGGAGGATGCTGTGGCAACTAGAACCCCCCTCCCCCCCATCTGGCAACAGTAAACACCACAGAACCACTGAGAACAGTTCTGTCCAGGTCCAGAAAGACACGCCCACTCTCAGATTTCACCTCATTATCAATTCATGTATTGGTACAATTTATCAGTCCATCAAGATAATCAATTAATCGTGATTAATCGATTACTGAAATAATCAATCATCAGGTGGCTGTTTTCCCACCTGGTGGTCTGGTAAACTCATTTGGATTGGAGACCAGAATTGCAACATTTGTCCCATTATCAGCTGTTGCTAGGTAACAGCGGAGCTCTGCTGGGGTTGCTAGGTAACAGCACATAGCCTGGTGATTTGTGACGTTACATTCCAGAGGGTTTTGAAATGCCTCGGTTTCTAGACACCAAAAAAAACATCTGGGTGGTTTTTCTGTTTTCAGAAGCAAATGAGACCCAAAGAACAAAAACGTTCAAAATGAAAAGTTTGCACAAAAACCTCTGAAGACACTGAGAGCAACTTCCTTCTTCACCGAATGGAAACTAAATGGCGGCATCAGATTTTAGCGGTTAAAGGATTTCTCTTTAAAGACCAGGAGCCATTTCTGCTGCTAGCGCTAGGCTAGCATGTTAGCCTTGTTTGTATTTACCCAAAATGCCCTGCACTGTAGTTCACTTCCTGCTTTTGGAGCGGTCTCTGGTCCGCTTGGCGTTCACATTCAAACCCATCAGAGTTCACTTCAACCAAACCCAGACTGAGGTTTGGAGGACCAGAGGTCAGAGGTCAGAGGTCGATCAGCAGTCACACCTCTCAACCGAACCGAGGCTGCAACTAACGATTATTTCAGTTACTGATTATTGTATTGGTTAGTCCAACAATCAATCAGATAAATTCTAAAGATTTTTCATTTAACCACTTAAACCTTTTTATACAATGTTAGAAAAACATTAAAAATACAAATGAAATAATTAAATTCCTCTTTAAAATAAAACCAAACTTTTATTGTCTAAAAGGCAATCACAGCATTCCTTTAGTGAATTTTAACTGGGTGAAACTAAAACTGCCACTTTCGGAGTTCAGAGCAGAACAGATTTACAGACAGTGAGTCTTTTAAAGTGTTTATTATGTGTTAGTACAGCTTTGGCTTAATTATTGCTATGAACATGCTGTTTTTCCAGCCTTTTTTTGAGTCCTGCATACTCCAGATTAATCAATCACTAAACTTATTGACAATTATTTCAATATTTGATTAATAATTTCTGCCCTAAACAAGCTGGACTAAACGGCTACAGGTCGACCTGAGAGCACAGAAGCTGAAGGAAGACGAAGTTCTGGTGGAACCATGGACTGATTCAGAACCGGCCCAGTTCCAGCAGAGCGTCGGTGAACTCACATGCATGCAGGGAGAAGTGTTTCCTCTCTGAGGCGCTCCCAGCAGCCAGAGGAGCCGGCGGCGCCGCAGAGGGACCCGGAGGCCCGGCTGCGGGCCGGCCGGCGGCTGTGGGCCCGGCGGACTCTGCTGGTTCCCCCAGGAGGTGCTGGATGGAGTGGAGCTGGAAGCAGGGGTCTGAGAGGAGGACGGAGGCAGCTCTGGACGTTCTGCAGAGAGAAGCACGAAAACGTTTGATACCAGCAGAAATCCCACTCCACACTGAACAGGTCTGACTTTTCTAACCAGTTTTCCAGAAAACACGCAACACGAGTCAGAACCAGTCAGAACCAGTCAGAAGGAGGATTCTTATCCATGAACCTCATGTCTGCACTGCAAAAACTCAAAATCTTACTGAGTATTTTGGTCTAGTTTCTAGTTTAAATAAGTTAGTACATTTGAAATAAGACCAAACTAAGAACTAGCTTTCTTCTATGTGCTCTAGCTGACAATCCAACATGGCCGCCTTGTTGATTTTTAAAGTCCTAGATTACAGAGTTCCTAATCCATCTTAATTGGATTAGACCGTTTTGTTTACTTATTTTCAATATTTAAACTATTTTCCAGATCCAGTGTTAAAAATTCTTAAGAAATTAACATCTTTGAGAGGACGTTATTCATCGACATAAATATGTCGTTATTATATTAGTTGCAAATAATCACAAAATGACAATATTATGATTTATTGCAATAATTTCTGGGTCAGTTTATCGTCCGGTAAAGTCCGTTCCGGTGACAGGCCCGGTTCTGATTGGAGGGTCGGTTTGGGTTCGTCAGCAGGTGGAGAGATCTGAGGAAGACGATTCCTCTTCATCTCCATCTGAACCTTCCTCAGCTCACAGTCCCACTGCGCTCAGCTCCGTTTGCAGCTTTGCTCTCATTAAGCCTGATTATTCAGCCGCGCTTTGTTAACACGCTGCACTGTGCATGAATATTAATCTCCACTGTGGGACTCTGGGGTTCTCCGCAGCTCTGAGCTTCTCTGGAAACCTTCAGTTCAGCTCCTTCACAATAAAAGCTGAAAGTCAAGGAGGAGCTTCAGTGGACAACAGGAGCTGATGATGATGATGATGATGATGATGATGATGATAGGTGTGTTGAAGCTGTGCAGCTCTTACTGTCTCATCTGGAGCTACAGAAGCTCCTCAGTCACCTTCAAATTAAAAGCCTTTTCTTATAAAACCAGCAGATTTAAGAGAAATTAAATTTTCTGCACCTTTAATTTCAGATTTTCTACTGGCCATCAGGACTCATGACAGACTGAGCAGCAGCTCTATGAGCGACACCTACTGTCCTACAGGTGAGAGGCGCTGGAGCTGTAAACGGCCCTGCAGGTCCAGGTGTCACCGTCAGGTCATGTGACTGACTGTAGATCACCTCCATCAACGCTAAATAAACCAGAAGGTCTGAGCGCCACAGTTCCCAGCCTGGAGAACAAAACCCAGTTACAAACAGCTCAGCATGAAGTCCAGCTAACGGCTGGGAATAGTTCTGAAAACACGGAGGAGAACCGATTCAGAACCAGCCAGGAGGATGACGAGCTGCAGGTTGGCTCAGAGCAGCAGGTGTCTGTTTGCAGAAGACTCAGATTTCAGCTGAATGAATAAAAAGCAGAAAGATGAGCTGCTGCTGACTGGAAAACATCAGGACATGTTTCACCCGGACAACTACAGGATCCAACAAAGACTAGAATCAGAACCAGCTCTTTGGGCAGAGATCAGTCAGAAAAACCTGGCGGCGACAGAGACTGGAGCTTCAGAGGAAGGCAGCTGGACTTCTTCTCTGGTTCCTCTGAGACGTTTATCCAGAACAAATCTGGACATGGCTGGACGAACCGAGCACAAAGCGTCAGCCAGAACCTCCACAATAACACGGTTCTTACGGCCACTAATGGCTGCCTTGATTCATAGTAACTGGAGCATTGTTCAGCAATAATCAGCAATATTTGATGTGTATTGATGCATTTAACAATTTGACTAATAGGGCAGTTGGGGTCACTAATAGGGCAGTTGGGGTCACTAATAGGGCAGTTGGGGTCACTAATAGGGCAGTTGGGGTCACTAATAGGGCAGTTGGGGTCATCGGGGCTGTTAAGATCGTGGACCTGAAGCCGCCTCCTCTGATCTGGAATGTAAATGGGTCGGTGGTTCTGGAGGCGATGAGCTGGTTGTTCCGTCGGTGTGGGCAGCTGCTCTTTAGTTCCTCTAATCATCTGGATGTTGCTCTCAGCGCTGAGCGCAGCGGTTCTGAGCGCAGCGGTTCTGAGCGCAGCGGTTCCTGTGGGACCCTGAGCTCCTCAGACCAACTAGAACTGGAAACCAAATTCACCAACCATATGGTCGGGTTTTTATCTGAACCGGTCCAACATGTTCTCCTAATCAATCAACGCAGTCAGACCAACTCTCCTCATGCTAGTGTCTCTATATTTAAGCTGACAGCTGTCAGCCTGCTGGTGTTAGATTTGCAAATGTCTTCATGCATTTAAATTGTTTTTATTTTTGGTTGAATTGTTTTAGAATGATGGAGATGAAATGATTTTACAGGACGGATGTTAAGCAGTGATGGTGGGACCTTAACAAATGGGACGCAAACATCGTCTCCTAAATGTTTCCTCTGCTTCCCAAGCTGCAGCTCTCATTTGCACATCTCTGCAGCCAATCAGATTCGCCGTGAAATGCGCCTCACACGGCTCCTTCTGTGGCAGCATAAGCCATCAGAGAGGGTGAAAACAAAGTGAGAGCAGGAGGCAAACAGACAGCGAGCAGAGCAGGGAACGCAGAGAGGCGGAGGGGGTCCGGAGGGCTGGAGCAGCGGAGGAGAGGAGGAGCTGGAAAAGCACCACAAGAGGCAGACGCCGCTCACAAATGAGCAGCAAACAGACGGAGGCAGCAACGGCAAACACTCCGAGATCCGAGGATCCGGACCAGAACAGAACCGCTTCTGCAGGAACTTTAAGGTCTCTGAGCAGCAGCAGCACCGACACACATTAAATCAGCCGGGCGGACAGGATGCTGCTGTAACTCAGAGCAGCGGCGCCGGCAGGACGGGACGACAGAGTATCGACTGGGAGCTTCCAAACTGGGAAACCAGCGGGTCAACTTCCTGGATCCTATCCGCGTTTCCAGCTGAGCGAGTCTGGAACCAGAACCTCCTGATTCTTCAGGCTGGACTGAGCCGATGTCTGGGTTCTGAGCTGGACCAGAGATCGGTGCAGCTTCATCAGGTCAAGAGTTTCCTGGTGAGAATGAGAGACAGGAAGCAGCCAGAGCAGGTCTGAACTTCTCAGAACGTCGACTGGAGACGAGATGAAGCCCCAAGCGGGAGCATGTGACCGGCTCTGACTCTGCTGCAGTTCGGTTTGCTGGAGGCATCATGCTGGCCGCCGTCCTGCAGAGGGCGCAGTGGCCTGTGGTGGTTCTGATGGTGTGTGTGCGGATGAGTGCGGTTCGGGGCGCCGCCTGCCCGCCCCGGTGTCTCTGCACAGCGGACATCCTGAGCTGCCCGGCGCTGGATCTGGACCGGGTCCCCGCAGCGCTGCCGGCCTACGCCGCCACCCTGGACCTGAACCACAACCGGATCCAGCAGCTGGAGCCGGGCGCCTTCCAGGGGCTGCTGCAGCTGGAGGTGCTGAGGTTGGCCCATAACCAGCTGAGCGCCATCCGGCCCGGTGCCTTCAGGAACTCTTCCGGACGCCTGAGACACCTGGACCTGTCATCCAATCAGCTGCTGGTCCTGAAGCAGAGCGACTTCCAGGAGCTGGCAGCACTGGAGGAGCTACTGCTGTTCAACAACCGGATCAAGCACGTAGAGAGCACCGCCCTGTCCGGACTGACCGGCCTCCGGAAGGCCTACCTCAGCCACAACCGCCTCACCAACTTCCCCTTCTTCAGCATCCGGACAGACGGTCACCGGCAGCTGACCCTGCTGGACCTGTCCTCCAACCGGCTGCCCAAGCTGCCGCTGGCGGACATCTCCGGCCTGCCGCCGGCCCTGCAGGAGGGGCTCTATCTGCACAACAACTCACTGGTGTGCGACTGCGCCATGTTCTCCCTGTTCCGACTGTGGGAGCAGAAAGGCTTCGCGTCGGTCCGGTTCTTCCGGCAGGAACACGTTTGCCTGGTCGCTGGAGTCCAGCGCAGCGGCATCAGCTTTTTCCTGCACCAGCGCTACTTCGAGCCCTGCAACATGACGGCGACGCCGCAGCAGGAGGCCAGTGTGTCGGTGAAGGCGGGGGCGCCGCTGCTGCTGCACTGCGTCACGTCTTTGTCCGGCCGCGGCGCCGTCTTCTTCTGGCTCACGCCGCAGCTGGAGTACGTGGCTCCGCCTGGGAACAACGGCTCCATCAGGATGTTTGCTAACGGCAGCCTGGCGATGGCGGCGCCCCAAGAGCGGGACTCTGGGATCTACGTGTGCGTGGTGCAGGTGCGGCGACTGAACGACTCCCGGGAGGTCAACGTGACGGTGCTGCCGCGGCCGGCCACTGATGCCACCGAGCCCTTCAACACGGGCTTCACCACCCTGCTGGGCTGCGTGGTCAGCCTGCTGCTGGTCCTGGTCTACCTGTACCTGACGCCCTGCCGCTGCCCGCCCTGGCCCAGGCCCCGCCCCCTGGGGGCCACCGCCCAGAGCCAAGGCAAGGAGGGCGGGGCGGGCAGCGCCCAGTCCTCCATCCTCACGCCGACGCCGCCGGCGTCCACCGAGGGCCCCAGCCGCAAGGTCAGTAGCAACAAGCATGTTGTGTTTCTGGAGCCAATCAGAGAGCAGCAGAACGGCCGGCTGGGGGCGGAGTCTCAGCAGCGCGCCGGGGAGACGGACTCTTACATGTCCGTCTTCTCCGACACGCCCATCATGTTGCCATAGCGACAGGACTCTCAGAGAGATGGCACAGCCCCTCACCACTTCCTCCTCAACACCCCTCCTTTCACCCCCAACAAGTGCAATTCTGACCCTGAATCCTGTTAGCTCAGGTCCGACCGCTGAGCCCAGAACCGGCGCACTGTGACGGGTCAGAACCGGCCGAGTCCAGACCAAAGACAGAGCATGAACCGCTGCGTCCCTTTAAGCACGGCCTGTCCCTTTAACTGCAGCAACGCCTTCCAGTACCAAACTGTTTTCTAGAGTTCTGTAGCTTCCTAGTTCTGTTCACCAGACCGACATGTAGGGCCCGATTAACCAGAACCATCCAGAGGTTCTGGTTCCCTCCTCCACTCTGCCTGGTTTCTGTTTCTATGTTCTCACTGCATCTTCTGCACCTCGTCTGTATCGCCTAATAAACCTCCAAACCCAACCTGCCTGGTTTCTGTGTGTGCGCGCGTGCGTGTGTGTGCGTGTGCATGTGTGTGCGTGTGTGTGTGTGTGTGCGTGTGTGTGCGTGTGTGTGTATGCACACGCAGCCACATTCTGCATGTTCAGCCTGCAGCAGGTCTTCCTGCTCCCACACGATTCACAGGTTTCCTCTTCCACTCCGTCATTCTGCTCTGCTGCCGGTTCTGCAGCTTTAAATCCTCAGTAAACCCAGAGTGCCATTAGATGGAGATGCAAATTAATAATTAACTGACTACATATTTAAATAATGGCATTAAATCTACAAAAACTTAAAAACAAAGTAAATCAGATTAATTATTTACGATAAACTACTCATTGTCATTCTACATACTTGCAGGTTTCACTGACTCAAATTTAAGACTTTTTATTTTAAGACATATAAAATGTACAAACTTCATCAAGCAAACTAGCTTTAGCTAGCTAGCAGTGATAAGTTAGCAGCTAGGTAGCGTTAGCCTCAGTCGCCTTGAGTCTCTTAATGCAACACGACGCCTCCAGCCTCAGCCTGCAGGTCTGGTCCTGCATGATGTTTTTGTCATTAGGACCAGTAGATTATCATTTTAAAGTTGTAGTTTTGCCATAGTTTATCACACTTGTTCATCAGGTCTTATTGACTGGCCATCCAAAATCACTCCAGGGGCTGTAAATGGCCCCCGCGCCTCACTTTGAACACCCTTGCTGTAGATGACCTCAGTGGGGTTTCAGGTCAGGAACGCCTGCAGGATCCAAACTCCCACAGAAGCCATCAGAGGCTTCATGATGAGGAAACACCTCAGCGGCTCTCAGGTCACAGCCCGACCCCTGACCCCTGACCCCTGAGTGGGCCTTCATCTTCCTCCCGCCATGTTTATCCCAGCTGAGCCGCGGACAGCATGAAGCTCTTAGTAAGATGGAGGAGAAGCGAGTGGTGATGAAATATTGACGAGACGTTTTGGCTGGGAGAGACGTGGAAACATGGAGGTGGCGTTGCCATGGCGACTCGGCTTTAGCTGATGGCTCCTCAGAACCAAACGGAACCAGAACCTCTGGGTTCTACAGCCGGACCGGGTCACGATCCCACCGAGCCGCGGACAGAAAGCTACGCCAGCCCAGAAAGAGCTGGTACAGCCTCTGCGTTGTCACGGCAACCGGCACGTCGACGTCCCCGTGTCCCAGCGGAGCGGATTGGTCGGGGCAGAAACTAACATCCTCCCCGTCTGGAAGCAGCCAGAGGTTAAAGGTCAGCGTTCAGAGGAGGACGTTTGGATCGTCTGAATCTGAAGAAAACAAACGAAGACAGAGCAGGGAGAGCGTCTCCAGGTGGGACGGGACACGTCTGCGCTCCACTCTCGAACATCTGACCAGAACCAGAACCGGAACCATCCTGAGAGCCAGGAGGATCAGAACCCCGACTGAAACACGCAGCATCAAACATTGATGGCGACTCCAGATGGATTTACTTCAACTGAAGAGCCGCTCTAAATCATTCATCAGCTGCACACAGACACAACGCTCCACCAGAACCAGAACCAGGTTCACACGCTTCCAGAACCAGTTCAATGGTTCCAGAACTCACAACAGAACCAGCCCACCACCAGGTGATGGTTCCAGGTCGGTCCATGGTTCTGGTTCTGGTCCATCTGACTCAGCGGTTCTGGAGGTGCAGACCTTTGCTACAGATGTTGGACTGCAGAACCAGAACCATCAGAACCAGAACTAAACTCCAGCTGAGATGAACTGAATAAAGTTCTGCTAAAGCTAACGCTCTGTTCCTCTTCATCCTCCTCCTCCTCCTCAGATCTATCCGTCTCACCGCTGCTCCTCTCAGCCCTCCGACTCCCTCCATCAGTAGACCTTCATCCTCCTCCTCCTCCTCCAGACAGGAAGCTCTGAGGCCTTCGTCAACATGCATGAGGGAAACCAAAGAAGAACCTGTGAGGAGTCTTCATCACAGTCTTCATCACAGTTTGCATGAGAGCAGCAGCTGTCACAGAGTCAGAGCAGACACCGGGGATTGTGGGTAATCTGAAGGCTAGAGCAGTGCATGCTGGGAAATGAGGTGAAAGCTGCTTCTGATGTCTCCTAATAAACGTTATGATGAAGGAAAGAGGAGCGGCTCGGATTATTTCAGGTTCTGATCGTCTGCAGTCACATGACTGCGTCGTCATGACAACAACTCTGATCGCATCAGCAACGGGTCAGAAGCTTCACTGCAAAAATACAAAATCTTACCAAGTATTTTTTGTCTAGTTCTAACAAAAATATCTCAGTAAACATAAAATAAGAAAACTAACAAATAGCTTTTCAGTGAGATATGAGAGCTGCTTTTAAATCAGTAATGACTTAACATTGATGCAAAATGTCCCAATTCTTCTGGTAGATTATTTCACCGGGAAAAGATTATCAGAGTTTTTGAATTGAAAATATTGCTTAAGTTTTTCTTTAAAAATGCAATTAATTGATAACATATCCTGAATTAACTCAAACATTTTAATTCAGTCCAGCAGCAGGTGGGGGAGGGGCTGCCTGTTAGCTATCAGGCTAGCCTAGCAGGCCATTAGCCAAACTAGCAGCACAGATAATCTGAGCTTTAACCTGAGTTAAAGTCCCTCCAGGGTTTCACAGCCGTTCCTGTAAAAATAACTGGTTCTGCGGCGCTAGTTCACAAATATTTTGTCCTCTTAAAAAATAAATCTACATAAAGAAAAAACGAACAGACGGGGGGGCTGTGGTGGCGCAGGGGTTCAGCACAACCCACATATGGAGGCCTTAGTCCTCGACGCAGCTGTCGCAGGTTCGATTCCCGGCCTGGCGTCCGTTACTGCATGTCTTCCCTCATGACCCACTTTCCTGTCAGATAAAGGCCACAAGAGCCAAAAAAATCTTTTAAAGAAAAAACGAACGGACTGAACACAAACATTTTGTTCTATAAAGAACTGATCAATGTTTGCTACTCGTAACATCAATCGCAGACGACAAGCAGACAGGAAGTTGAGGCAGCAGGAGGAGAAGAGGGAAACGCCGCCACCTGCAGGTGGGAGTCAGCATCACTCAATCCAAAGCTTTTGGGTGGAAAATTTGCAATAAACTCACAATTAGTGTGAAAAATGTGTGGATCTGTTGGTTTTGTGTGAATTTTCGTCATTGCGGAGTCATCATGAAACGGTGGATATGCTGATTTAACAGACCGGTTCTGCTGGAACAGAACCGGGTCCTGAGCCGGACTGCAGAGTAAACCTGCAGGTAAAACTCAGGCCGGCGTTCCCCAGCGGGCCGGGTCTACGTCCTGGAAAACTACGGCGCTGTGATGGAAAAAGCCAGCAGGCTGCGCGCGGCGGCCTCTGATTCTGTGAAGCTGCTAAGCTAATTATCCTGGAGCTGAATCTAATCTGAGGCAGGCTGAGAGCTGAGAGCTGCCTCTCTGAGCCGCAGCTGATGGATCATAATGAGCTCCATCGATCTGTCTCACAGCGGGGGGCGGGGGCTACCGGTCCCGATGAGGCGAGTCGGACTGATGAAAACAATCTGAGGAGCAAACTCACCTGGGACGAAGCCTGAGGAAGAGGAAGCTGGACTGAGGTCAGAAATAAAATTTAAATCCAAGCCTTCCTTTTCTTCCTGCCGGTTCTAACCTGAGGCTCTGGTGAGAGGTGGACTGGTGCCAGAGGTTTGAACTCTGACCTCTAGCTGCATCTCAACGACCCGATGCAACCTGCCGGGTTTCCTCAGATAGAAACTTTTAACGGGCCTGAACTCGATGTGTTAACTGAAGCGGTTTGTAGCAGCTTTTAATTCCTAAAACTAAAATTTTCCAGGAGAGGCTGCATGAGGTCTGGCTCCAGCTGGACTGTTTGAGATACGCAGGAAATTCAGATTATTTCTAGCAAAAATATGGACAAAACAAAAACTAAAACTCTCTTACAACTTAGATGAAAACAAACGACTTTATCTGATGTTTCAAGTTCAAAAATCAATTTACAAAATTTCCCACACATTTGACAAAAGGCATCCGCCGCGGCACCCGGCGACCTTTGACCTTTTAACCCTAACATAATCTAAGCAATTCCTGATACTATATTCCCAATAATTACAGATTTTGGTTCCAAAGTAACTTAAGCATCTTGTAACTGCCCAGAGAAAAACTAAATGGACGAATGTTATGATTTATAAAAATGAAACAGAAATGGCTGCAACACGATTAGATGTTTAGTCTGAATGGAAGTGAACCTTCAGCTGGTCAACAGTTAGTGATCAGTTTGAGTAAAACAGTGTCAAAGTGCTTTTTGATTAGAAAACACATACAAGAACATTTCATAATTTATCTGCAGAATTAAATTATCAATATGGAACAGAATTCAAATATTTTTGGTTATTTTTTGACCCACACCTAAAATTTGAGAATCATACTAATAACATTTCTAAAACTGCGGTGGATGAATACCATGATATTCTCATATTTCATATTTACTTCACACTGAATGACAGCATGAGCCCTTTAACTGCCTCATTGTTCAACCAAACAATAAAAATAATGGACAAAAAGCCAATAAAATCTCATCCCTGTCTAATCGGGACAAACATAACCGAATGGATTTGAAAGCTGTTGTAATTCATGTTTTCTTAAATTAATGTTTAAGTGTATCGATAAGTTACCTCCTGATCAGGGGCGCGGTATCGAGGAGGGGGGGGGGTGATGACAAATCTAGGGGCCCTGACCAGCAGGGGGCCCTCCACAATTTATTTATTTTCTGTTCATAGAAATAAAATAAAAAAATTGGGGCCCTGTCAATTACAAAATTAATTATATTGTATTTTCAAAGATTGTTTTTAGCAGTAAAAATTTTATGTTCCCACTCCCAGACCAAAAAACTCACATCCATATTGGCCCTGAACCCCCCTGTCTGCGTTAAATGGTTCGTTCCTGTTGGAGCTTCAGAGTGACGCTGTTAGCAGCAACCAGTAGGAAACACGAACGATGGTGGCAGATACTCTGCTGCTAAGAAAAGTTATAAAATCAGGTTTTCAGAAAATAGAGAGGGAGAGAGAGAAAAAGGCAAGAGTGTAATTTATAACCCAGTTTTTCTCCAAGAGAGGTGAGTAGACTGTGTGAGATTATCAACCATTTAGCATAATTAGCTTAGCTGCAGACTACTGTTTGCCTCCATTTCACAGCATTTAATGAATTAAGCAATTACCAACATATTCATATATTTAACTTGTACCTTTTACCACTTAACAACAGATGAGTCAGTCAGCAGCAGCTCTAACCCACGTCCCTCCTGACCCGTCCTCTCCCAAGAGAAATTAAAGCTGCAGTAACTTTTATATAATATTTTTTTTTCACAATATTTGTTAAAACTGTCATTGTGTTGTGACATTATGGCATGAGATGTAATCTGTGAAAAATCTATTTCCTCTGCTTTCTCCCAGTGCTAGAAACAACCAGTCAGTGGCAGGAGAGTTTTAGTGCTGTCAATCACCATCTCATGTGGTGCTGCTCATCCTTCCTGCCCCTCGATTTATGCCGTGCTGCAGCTAGCATAGCACAGAGCTGTGCAGATTCAAACTGTGAATGCTCAGTTTAGTTAGCATAGCTACCAATGACGGCAGATAAACGGTTTCTTGTAATGATAAGTTGTTTCTCCCCCATTAGCACATTTAGCAGTGAGTGAATGAGGCTAATTGACAGCGCTAAGACCCTCCTCCTGGTTCTGATTGGTTGTTTTGGTCAGAACGGTGCATTACTTTAACCAGTAATTCAGGAAGGAGATGGAGGAGATTGATTGTTTTCACAGATTATCTGTCACATAAACTGCTACAACTCCGTGACAGCTTTAACAAATATGGAGAAAACATATTTTTTAACTAAAGTTATGTACTGCAGCTTGAATAAAATGCAACTACTAGCATTTTTAGAAGTCTGGATTGCTTTATGTGTATTTTGCACGTTGCTTTTGACTGTTGCTCATGGGGAGACATTTCAGTATCTAAAACGAATAGAAAAAATTTAAGCAACCTACTTGCATACTGGATGTGGACTGCTGGATGTTCAATTCATGAGCAGTAAATATTGTGCTAGTATCAGCATTGAACCAAAGAAAGCAAGGCAGATGCAGGCCTTTAAAATTGTGATGCTATTTATGGGTCAAATAGACTCAAAAAATTGTAACAGCAGCTGGTCAGGGGGCCCAATCTAATTATTTGTCAGGGGGCCCATGATTTCTGGCAGCGCCCCTGCTCCTGGTTCTGGAGGATTAAGTTGCGTTTGTTTTGCTTGCCTGGCCAGGTGGAGGATGAGGAAAATCGG